TGTTAGCCCGGCCGGGGTGGGCCAGGCTCGCCCTCGGGGCACCGCTGCCAGTTCACAGCTGCTGTGGAGCTGCTTGTCCCTGTCGGCTCATGGGGACCACACGTGTCCTACAGCACCTGGTTTTACCCCAAATTCAGCGGAACCGTTTAACGTGCCTTCCCCAGGACAGGAGAGGCAGAGAGCACTCAGGCACAGCCCTACTCCGAGGTGCTGCTACCCCCAGCACTCCTGCGCTGGGGGGGATGAAGGAAGAGGAGGAGGAGGGTGCAGGGCAGGTGAGCGGCTCCTGCTTTCCCCTGGGCAGCTCTAGGGAAGAGCCTCCTCCTCCTCGGGCAGTGTGCTGGGACTGGAGGCTGTGGGGGGGATGGAGGCTGTGGGGGGTTTGTAGTCCACCCCGTGGAAAACCTGGCCCCCTGTGCCCGCGGGCTCTGCGCAGGAGAATGTGCAGTCCTGGCTGTGCCAATGGCTCTCCCCACTGCTGGCCAGGAGGCACTCGCGGCACCGCTTGCCGATCAGGTAGGCGGCCTCAATGAGGCTCAGCATGACACAGACGCAAGCGGTGACCACCATGAAGAGGGTGAAGATGTTCTTCTCGGTGGGCCGGGAGATGAAGCAGTCCACCACATTGGGGCAGGGGGGCAGCTCGCACTTCACCACCCGGGGCAGGGTGTAGTTCCTGTAGAAGCGGTAGAAGATGTAGAGGAAGACCACGTCCACGCCAGCCTTGAAGATGAGGCTCAGCAGGTAGGTCCACCACAGCCCGCCCCGCTTCTTGCCGGGGTTGGGGTAGATGCAGCGGCAGTCATCCCCACCAGCGGCACGGTGCCTCTGCTCCTTGGCCTCCCGGTAGGCCACGTGCATGATGACCAGGAGGGATGGACAGGTCACCAGGATGAGCTGCAGGGCCCAGAGGCGGATGTGGGAGACGGGGAAGAAGTGGTCAAAGCAGACATTCCTGCAGCCTGGCTGCCGCGTGTTGCAGTCAAAGTCCTTGTGGTCATCACTCCAGACCCGCTCGGCTGCCACCACGTAGACCAGCAGGCGGAAGATGAAGACGAGGGAGAGCCAGATGCGGCCGAAGGCTGTGGAGTACTTGTTGACCCCGCTGAGCAGCCCTTCGAACACCCCCCAGTTCATGGTCCCCTGATCCCGTTAGCTAGCCTAGGAGGAGAGAGAAGATACAGTGACACCAAAGAAACAGTGAGGGGTCCCCATCAGAACCTGCGTGCCCTGAAGCACCGAGCTGCACTCCTGCCCGGGTGGTCTTGGGGACCATCTCTGGCCTTTGCTCGCACACAGGGACACGCATGGACATGTGCCCCAGCACAGACCTGGTCTGGGCAACGTGTCTCCACAGATCACTGTCCCCCTCTGCGGGGCCACGGGGACCCAGCAAAGCTTGCTGGTTCTGCCGCGGCAAAAGCATCCTTCAGCCACTGCCAGCTACGGTCCATGCCAGCTCAGCCCTCTGCCATCCTGCACCACCCACCCCATCTCTCGCCCCGTTGCCCAGGTATTTGTTATTAATTTTCCTTACGTTGTCAGGTCTGGCCCAGGCAGATGACAAATAGGAGCAGCCAGGGCATGACTCACCCGGCAGCTCTGCGGCTCCACTGCACCGCCACGTCCTCTCCCATCGCTGGAATCCGCCGTCACCTCCGCTCCCCCACCTGGGCAGCGCGGGAGGAGCCCTGCACCGGGGAGGCCACACTGGGCACGGCACAGCACAACAAACGGACACCGTGGAGCAGAGGCAACGGGCAAGCTGGGGGGGGGCTGCACAGCCCCAGGCAATGCCAAGTTGCTGACCCAGGGCTGGGCGGCCACAATCACCAATTTTCATCAGCTCAGACATCTCAGCCCCTACCAGCGCCAGGACCCCCGAGCAGCTGGTTTGACCCTGGATTGCATCGTGCCAGAAAAATGCACCCCACGCGGCATGGTGCTGCAGCCCAGTGGGACTCCCAGGGCTGTGCTTGGCACCAACTCTCCTTAAACATTTTACCTATCAGTGAAATAACAAAATTCCCCCTCGCTGGCAGCGCTCTTGGGGGTGAACGCAACCCGCTGCTCCGCACAGCCCAGCCTGTACAACGTGCCTGCTCATGGGCCCGGGGCGGCCACAGATGCTCCCCAGGCACATACCTTCCGTGGGTTCCAGCAGTGGAAGGTCTCCCTTCTCGCCGGGGTGATCCCCAGGGACACGCACGCAAACCCCAGATTTCTCCTTCCCCATGCACGCTTCCGGCAGCAGCCCAGGATGTGCCCGACACCCCGGCATCGGGTCGGGCCTGCCTTACCAGGGCCGGGGGCTGCAGCAGAGGAGTGTTTTCCTGCTGCTTACCTGTGGGATGTCCTTCTGCCGAGGCCAGCGCTGCTGCCAGTCGGTGCTTGCCCGCGGCAGGAGCGCATCGCCCGGTGCGAGAGGCGCCGGTGCCGTGTGAGTCATCCCATCCCTGGGAGCAAGGAGGAGATTCCCAGGGGGAAGGGATGGAATTCGAGGCAGATCCCCACGTGTCCTGTAGGCTGCCAGATTTCCTGGGGCGAAGGGCTGCCCTAAAGCATGTGGGGGCCCAATCCTGCTGCTGTGCAGGGAAGGGCTACATCGGCTGCCCCACCGCGGGGAAGAGTGCATGCTCA